GGGGAAGGAAGATTATGTTAAACCCCCACTTTACTTTTCCCTCAAAATGTTTAGCCAAAAGGGCCCTTGAAAAAGATCCACATACAGCATCAACCAGCAAGCGGGGTCTCCAGCTTTCGAACCCAACCCTGTCAAAGCTTTGCCCTCTTTTGGGTCACCGGGGGCGCTGGGGGGTTAGTTTCGGGGTCCCAGGGGGTCAGGTCATTCCAATGCATTGTGGTAAGGAACTCCCCCTTTTTGGGGATTGGTTATAGGTTTTGTTTGGGTGATAGAATTCAGTTTGGGGTTTGTGTGTAAGGGGGTTGGTGTGGGTGAAGACTTTTTTGGGGTTTGTGAAAGTGTGTTTTAACAGACTTTAGTTTTGGGGTTTTGGTTATGGGGTTTTTGTGGTAAAACTTATTTTGGGGGTTTGTGTATGGGTGTTGTGTAGACGACACATCTTGGGATTGTGTATATAGGTGTGGGGTAGGGAGAAAAATAAAATGATATTATAGATGGGTAGGTGGGTAGGTAGGAGGGAAGGTAGGTAGGTGAAAATAGATAATGGGATAAATAGAAATAGATAAAAACAGAAACAAAACAGACAGACTTTCATTGGAGATTGTGTGTGTGATAGAAGAAACGACAACAGACTAATTGAAATAGATAGTAAATGAAAAAAGCAGACAAACAAATAATAGAAAGGGGAGCAAGGGGTTTTAAGACCCTTTAACCCAGATCATAGGGTTTTTTTAGGCTTCTTTGAAAAACTATGAAAAAAAAAAAAGGGAATTTTTGAGGATAAAGATTTCCCTTCCCTTTGGGGCCTTAAACAAATGCGTAAACCCAAAACTATTACATTGTTAGGGGACTGTAACATTTTTTCTGGGTTTATGCGGGTGTTTTGAAAAAAAAACAGGCAATGAGGGCCCTTTCTGCACCATTTTGGGAAAAAATTTGACAAGTAGGGTTGTGAGACCCCCTTGGGGGCGCATGAATAGTGGGGGGGGGGCCCCAATGATCCTTCTCTGGTAAATGGCGCGCTGTGGGGAGTTTCCCGAGTCTGGTTGATGCTAGCAAAAAAAAAGAGGCGGTGACGTTTAAAAGTTACTTTACCATAGAATTTTTTTTTAAAATCTTCCGCTGCGCTGAGAGGGGGACTAGCGCTTAGGGAAAGTGTCCTATGGGGGATTTTTTCCAATTAAACTTCGGCTTTGCTGAACCATCGTCATTATTCAATTTAAAATGGATGGCCTCGGATTTAAAAAAAAAACGTTGGGGCTTTTGCATCTGCTGCGGATGTAAGGAGCTGATCAGCCCTTTCATCACGGGGCCCCAAATGATGTCATGTTTTGGGACTTAAATTTCTTCTTAAAGTTTACCACTTAAACTCGGGTGAAATTTCGGGTTTTTTGTCCTTTTTCAAATCTAGTCCTGCCCCAGAACCTAGTTTTTTCTCACGCATTTCCCTTTTTTACGGATCTGACTCTTTGATAAGACTGTTGGTTTTTTGCCTGGGGGCAGATCAGTCTGAAAAAAAGGAAGCCCCAAAAATTGATGTTAACACTCTTTTGAGAGGCAGGGGTAATTCCAGTTTTCCCCTACAGTGGCCTGGAAGCCCCCACAGGGAGGGAATTTTGATGTGTGATGTGTTAAAGATATAACAGGGTAAATGAGATTTTGTGTTGGAGTTGAGTGATGATGTTGTTGTTTTATTGAAGATTTGATGATGAGATGAAAATAAAAAAAATAAAAATTCCCACAGATCCAGGACAGAATTTTTGTTCGGACTGCTGGGCTTCACTACGTGGGGGCCCAAGGGGTCCTCAAAATCCATCGGGTTTCCCCCCCACGACCCGGTCCTACTGCCTCGGGGGCCCACCCCCCCACATCTGAGGGCACAGCGGGGCCCCCGATACCTCACCCGATCCCCGGGAGGGACACTGGGAATCAATGAATGGGGGGTAAATTTAAAGGGTTAAATGATTTAATTATGTATGAGTGACTGAAACAAAATGGCATCTCACTCGGCTCCCAGTGTCCATCCTTTCCCCGTGCCAAAAAAGTCTTGCTATTTCTCAGACGGGAACCTGAAAAAACTTCCCTGTGTTTTCCCCCCTCAGGTTAAAAACTCAACCTTTTCCCCCCCCCCCCCCCCCACATCCCCACCACACTTTCCCCCCAATTTCCCCGTCAATGATTGTATGAGCTTGGTCTGTTCGTACCCCTCCAAAATTTTTCCCAGAACCTTTACCCCTTTTACTTTGGGGGAAAAATTTCCACTCCAGGAGCCGCAGCAGCCCGCTACATCCTGCTCATCCCCGCACCGTAAAACCTGAAAAAATCCATAATATGTCCCCAGCTGGTCTTTCAATGACCAGCCAACTCTGGAACTCCCCGCCTCATCCCTTTTTTCAATTCAAGGAGCTTATATGGTGCCCGTATTGTGTTGGTCGCCCCCGTCTCCCTTCCGTTCCAGCTTCCCATTATTTTGCCCCTCCTTCTGGCGCTTGATAGCCCAAAAAATTTTAAGCTTCCAAACATGATTTTGTTTTTAACCATCTTTCTTGATGTTTCTTCTTTACCATGTATTTAAGATTTCTTCTATTATTTTTTCCTAAAGGGCCCCCCTTTTTTTCTTTCAAAGTAACGGCGATATCACGTTTAATATTTGTTTCAGGGAAGATGCATGCAATCAAAATTGTAAGTTCTTTGCTGATCGAAAGAAATTTTCCAGAAGAAAAAAAAACTTGGATGAAATTCTTACACCCACTTGTTCCTTTTGCATGAAGCCTTCTGCTGAGACTACCAAAGCCTTATGTTTTCTCCATGGGTGGAGGTTTAATTAAAAATCTCTGAACCCGTTTTCTTGTTCAACTGTGACATTTGAAATTAAAGTTTTTTGTTCCCTACATCATCTGTCTATCGTCTCTGTCTACGTCTTCTGACCTTTTCTTTCGCTGTTTTACATTCCAGGTGTTACATTTTTTTACCATTGCAGTCCCCTTTAGGGCCCTTACTCCCTTTTTGCTGTCCTGCCAGGTTTCCCTTTGTTTTCTCACGTCCTTTTTTTTTTATCTTTTGTCAGTTTGGGGAACTGGTATCGTTGACTTCTGCAAAAAATGCCACCCCTTTCATCTTTTCCCCGAAAATTTTTTTTTTTCCACCTTTTTCTTTTTGGCTCTTTGGCTAAAACTTCACCGGGGTTTTCCTTTGACAAAAGGTTCTCCCTTCATAATGCTACAACCCTTTAATACAGTTCTTCGTGTTGTTGTGACCCCAAACCATAAACTTCATGACTTTACTGAATATGGGTTTTCCGTTGGTCTAAGGCGACCCCTGTGAAATGGCTGTTCGACCCCCCAAATAGGGTCACGACCCACAGGTTGAGAACCGCTTCCTTAGACACTTGTTTTGAAAAGATCTCCAGACTGTGTGTAATTTCCGCTATGGTGTTTACAAAATTCAATGCTGGATATATATGATTCTTAAAATAAATAGTGGAAGATTATATCCAACAATGAAAAGGAGACAACGTTTTTTGGTCATGTGATACAGAAAGGAGCATTGGAAAATATTGTGACGACTGGAAAGATCACTGGTAGAAGAGGCAAGAGGCAGGCCAAGAGAAATGATGGTAGATGGCTTAAGACATTGGCATGAAGGAATATCATCAGTGGAATTGACCCAGAAGACCAGAGGCCGAGATCTGCGGAAATGCATGAACGCCTTTGCCAGCTGGCAAGACACTTAATGATGATAATAATGATTCTGTATTGTTGTGAATTCCCGGGGAAATCCCAGAGACTTCCCCATTGGGGGGAACAAGGTCAGAGGACCAGTGAAACAAGAGGAAAGCGAGATAAGAATGTCTCGAGTATCCCGTGGTGAGTGAATAGGGATACAAGGAAAGCGTGAGACTTTAACAGAAGGTGTGAACCCAGAGAGGGTTGGAAGTAAGTTGGAGTTTGGACCTGGATGTGTGTGGTTGAATGCGAGGGAACAGCTGAGAATAATGCAGATTGTCTGACCAGGTGTATTTGTTCGAGAGCAGAAATGAATGTCTACTGACTGCAAGCTTCGATTGGGTACAGGTACAAGGTACTATATGTTGGCATGATACAAATGTATGATCTGAAAGGTAATGGCAGAGAGAATCACCGTGTGAGATAGTTGCCAATGTCATCAGGAATCAGCCATGCGTAGCAGCCAGGAGAACACACAGTAAGCGCATGGACAGCCAATAAAGATCAATAACTGAGTGTTCGTCGTCTGGTGTATTCTTAGTAGGGCTGTACCTAATAGTGATTTTCACTATTCAGCCAAATACGAATAGCGGGACCAACTATTCGGCCAAATACGAATACAAATAGTGTATCATCATCATGAGGTGCCTTGCCGACTGACGTGGGCGATTATGCCTCACCACAATCTGCGATATCTCCTACAGCATGTATTAGTTCGTGTGCTGACACACCTCCATGCCATGCAGCAAGACTGTCAAGAATCTTCTCTCGTTGTCTTCCTCCTCTTTCAAAACCTCTTGGTTGCTTTTTTTGTGTGGCTTTCCAAGGTATTTTAAGCATTATTCTGTAAAACCATATCTCTGAGGCCTCAAGAAATTGTTTATTTTTAGCACGCTGCGGTTGGCATTTTATGCAGTATGATACACTTTGTTGAAACAAGGAAAAAACTCTTTTCGACATTTTAACTTCTAAGTATCTTCATGCCTTCTTTAATAATGTCACAATTAATAGCCGACTTTTCTTGATTTCGACGCTGCACCCCTGACATACGCACCCAGTTTGAGGATCTCTACTGTAATGCCTCAGATGAGTTAGCAGGCAAAGACCTTGCCAGCTGCTGTACCACGCAACCAGGTCGCAGTTTTCCCCACTACGACAGACTTAGGCAACAGCAACTATTGTGTTAATGGGAGAGTTATTTCAGTTCATCGCAGTGTATGCAGAAACGGGTGTAAGGTAACCACTATTCGTATTCGGCCGGACCGCAAGTATTTGGCCGAATACCGAATAGTTATTAGGTCCAGTACTCAGCCCCGAAGCGAATACGAAGCGAATATTCGGTACAGCCCTAATTCTTAGTAACTGTGTGTACCTAAGAACGTCAATATAGCAATGTGACGAGTTCAATCAAACCCCTAGCAGAGCTACCTTGCAAGTTAGAGACTCGAAAAACGGAGGGCCGGGACTGATAATTTCAATTCAAGTAAGCAACGGAGGGAGATGGTCAGAACAGCGACTGGACATCCAGCTGGTGGGCCCAGTTGAACTGGACGGCTTAAAATAGGGCAAGAAAGTTACGACATGAGAGTCGTACTGGGTCAAGGCCGTAATTATACCAGTTGCTCAGTTAAAATTCAAATAAGAGGAAAATGTTGGTAATTTTATCACTCGTAATTGTAAAACTGATCTGTCATACCCTCTCCAGAAGTCACATTCCTCGGGCGAGGAGGAGATTGACAGCTCAGAGCGGGAGGATGCTCCAGATGGTAAGAGATGTACTCATTTATCTCTTTTAGTACCAATCTGCTCACCATTTGTTTATTGACTGGTGCAATTAATTACACATGCAACTGCTGATCTGTTGTAACCGCTGCTTCCATCTACAATTACCTACATTTCTGGTGTCAGACTTTTGCGTTAGAGCTTCTGACAGCTGCCTTATGCATTTAATGCACATGTATGCCATTGGAATTGCTAAGACTGCAGTCTGTGTCTGTTATTTTTTGGCCCACAAGGGACAGAGATGGACTTTCTGTGCGGTTTTCAAGCAGCAGTGGGGTGAACTGTTTGTTATGATGTTGGAACTGTGAAAACCTCATTATTACAAAGCTAATTCAGTGGACACTTACATCCTCCAATGAAGTGACAACAAAGATGAAATGCCTTAGAAGAGCTGCTGGAGTTTTAAGGAAAGACAGAATTCGAAATCACGAAATTAGATGAATGCTAGGAATAAAGCTAGTCTTACAAGTCTTCAAAGAATAACAAATGAAGTGGTTTGGATACCTAACAAGAATGCCCTGGTAGTATCTGCCACAGCGAGCCACAATAAAGCGTTACAACGGATATAGAGCGAGTGGAAGACCTAGGAAAATATAGAGTGATGGCATTAAGAACAGCCTTACAGAAATGAACATCAGTCTTAATAGTGCTCTTGACAAAGCTCATCAGCAAACATAACATCTAACCCCGACACTTCGCTGAGTTACAAGGTGGAAGAGAAGAAGAAGAAGAATTCAATGTTTTTGCTGTCTTTTTCATAAAAAGATTTTATATTAACTCTTAGTTTCTGAAATAGATGTCTAATTCCTTCTCTCCTAGAGTGGCTCTGTCAAATTCCATCAGACCTTAGCATTTATTGTTTTTAAGAGCAACTCATGGGTGCTGTGTAGTCTTGAGGTATGGCATCCACTTTGAGTGCTAAGGGTCCCAGGTTCAAACCCTGGTGAAAGCTGTGATATCTTCACGTGGACTTCTAATAATTTCACCTGGTCTCTGGGTAGTGAGATCGGATGTCCGTGTGTATTTCTGCGCAAGTAAAAAAAATCCCTTGGCAGTTGAAAGTCTAAAGGAGTAGCTTAGCGGCGCTGCCCAGGCAAAATTTTGAGTTAAAAATGTACCCAAAGTATTTCAGGATCCTCGCTGGTACAACAGAGTTCGTGCACTGCGCAAAGAGACTTCTAACTCAGGCTTGAGTTTAGATGTATAACGAAGCAGTTATAGGGTTACACCCGTGTGCCATGATGTTGATCCGTCGACTAAACTAAACTAAACTAAGAGCAACTCATATCAATATCAGGAGCTAATGAACAACTGCTCGGGAGAAAAGAGTTTGAGAAGGAACATGAAAACGTACTCATAGATTGTATGTCTCCCACTGCAAATGTCTGAAGGTGTCAGTGCTGATTGTTCCAGCATCACACTGGTTGTACGTATGTCCTCGTCATCCTTTTTGTTTTTCCAGATCCACACATTAACTCTAAATTCACACAACCATAAATGTGTTTGTTTCATCTGACACCGTATTTTCCATTGGTATTTGGTCATCTCATCTTCTTCTTCTTCTTGGTGTTTGCCGGCTGAAAACTCCAGCAGAAAGTTCTGGTTGTTTGTCCACTTCTGGACTCTAGTCTTGTTCCAGAAATTGAGCTTTTTTGCACATCTGTTTTACAGAAATCTAGTTAATTTGTAAGCAGACTGTTGGTTCTTGCATCTCAGGCAGATACACTCTTTTCAAAGAAAACACTCCTAATTAATTGACTTTTATAACATGTTTGTTAAGGGGTCAATGGGTCTTTCCTTCCCCCTCCCCCCACCCCCCCCCCCACCCCCCCCCCCTTCCCCCCCCCCCCCCCCCCCCCCCCCTCAGAAGTCAGGAGGCCATCTTTAAACCATCATTATGACGTCACCGTGATCATATGTGTCGAGATGTCTCATACGTAACATCTTTGGCAGGTTACAAGACAGTGGCTTATTTATTGTAATTTCTGTCATGATTTTAAGGTTTTCATTTGAAGCCTTCTTTTAGGTCACCTCCGATCAAATCTATATATGACCCAAAAATTTGGTTTTCTGATATATTTTTTCCCCAGATGTACCGGATCATTCTCACGAAGCCAGCGTGGTACGCAACCCTCACCTGGAAATCTTACAGCACAGCGAAGTGGTCACAGCTGCCGACTGGGTGTGTCAGGGGTCACAGGTTATCACAGCTTCGTGGGACAGGATGGCTGTGTTGTCGGACGCAGAATCTGGGGAGCAGATTTCGGTTCTCTCAGGTAAGTTGCTGGCATATCCTCATCTTGTCTTACATCATTTTTCTCAAGTCCCACAGTTTTTTTAAATTTTTTATTTTTTTTTACTTTATATTTGTATACATCTGATTGTCTGTAATCATGTGTGGTAGTTACTGACTCACAGCCTATTCTTATTCTTCTTAACAGTTGCCAGCTGTAAACTCTGGTGGAAAGTTCTGGTTGTTTGTCCACACCTGGACTTTGGTCTTCATCAAGAATTGGAGTTTTGCATGTACATCAGTTTTACAGATCTGGCTTATTTGTATGCTTACTTTTTGTTCCTAGTCTCTCACACTGATGCGCTCTGACTTCAAAGCTTTAAAAAAAGTAAAAAAGACCATTTTCCAGCCTTTTTCCACTCCTTTAGGACACGTATAGGACTGGACTATATTTTATAGACCAATCGGCACAAGATGGGTGATGTGGTCAGCATCAAGCTGGCCACCTTTACTTCCCGGGACTGCACCCGGTACCCACTTAAAGCCAGGTCAACCTGGGAGCTAAGGTCATTTAAAAAAAAAAAAATGTTAGGCTGTGCCAGGAGCGAACCCACGACCTTCTGATCCGCAGACAAGCTTCTAGCCGCTATGCCACGGCGACTCCCTGACTTCAACGGAGACATCCCTAATTAGTGGCCTTGTGCGACATGCTTGTCTTGGGTCATTGGGTCTGTTCTCTTTTCACCTCAGAATGGGGCCCGGGAGCTCACAGGGGCCCGGGAGTTCACATGGGGAATTGTCTGTAATGATTGTCTGTGGTAATGGTGACCTGGAATGTGAAACTCGGCAGGCCACGACCAGGAGCTGACATGGGGAATTGTCTGTAATGATTGTCTGTGGTAATGGTGACCTGGGATTTGAACCTCCGCAGGCCACGACCAGGAGCTGACCGATGTGCATGCTCACCCCAGCCACAAGATGGTTCTGACCTCCTCCAAGGACAGCACCTTCCGGCTGTGGGACTTCCGCGGCACCTCCATGCTGGTCAACGTCTTCCAGGGGCATACACAGTACGTTCGCTTGATCTTTCTGTCTCAGCCTGTGCCTCAACGTCTTCCAGGGACATGCACAGTACGTTCGCTTGATCTTTCTGTCTCAGCCTGTGCCTCAACGTCTTCCAGGGACATGCACAGTACGTTCGCTTGATCTTTCTGTCTCAGCCTGTGCCTCAACGTGTTCCAGGGACATACACAGTACGTTCACTTGATCTTTCTGTCTCAGCCTGTGCCTCAACGTGTTCCAGGGACATACACAGTACGTTCGCTTGATCTTTCTGTCTCAGCCTGTACCTCAACGTGTTCCAGGGACATACACAGTACGTTCGCTTGATCTTTCTGTCTCAGCCTGTGCCTCAACGTCTTCCAGGGACATGCACAGTACGTTCGCTTGATCTTTCTGTCTCAGCCTGTGCCTCAACGTCTTCCAGGGACATACACAGTACGTTCGCTTGATCTTTCTGTCTCAGCCTGTGCCTCAATGTCTTCCAGGGACATACACAGTACGTTCGCTTGATCTTTCTGTCTCAGCCTGTGCCTCAACGTCTTCCAGGGACATACACAGTACGTTCGCTTGATCTTTCTGTCTCAGCCTGTGCCTCAACATCTTCCAGGGACATACACAGTACGTTCGCTTGATCTTTCTGTCTCAGCCTGTGCCTTTGTTATTTCTTTCTTTGTCTGTCTGATTCTGCCTCTCTGTGTCTGTCTGCTTCCTTTTTTCCCTCTCTGTCTCTCGCCCTCCTTCTCTTTGTTTGTCTGTCAGGGCATAGCCATTTTGATTAGTGTATTTCAAAAAATGCATCTGATATAGCTAAGTGTCTCACTGTTGTGTCTGTCTGTCTGCATCTCTGTCCATATATACTCTGTCTACTTGTTCCTGTATTTGCTTGTCTCTGAACTTCTTCCCCCCCCCTCTCCCCCCGCCGATTTTTTCTTTTCTGTTTTCTTGCCTGCAGGCCTATATTTGCTTATGTCTGTCTTTCTACTGCTTGTCCTTCTGCACTCCCCCCCCCCCCCCCCACTGTATGGTTTTATGTTCTCTCTCTGTCTCTTTTTCTTCCTCTCTCTCTCTCTTTTTTTCTCTCCTCTCTCTCTCTCTCTCTCTCTCTCTCTCTCTCTCTCTCTCTCTCTCTCTCTCTCTCTCTCTCTCTCTCTCTCTCTCTCTCTCTCTCTTTTCTTTCTTTTGTTTTCCTTTTCACACACACTGTCTGATGTTAACACAACTTTGCGACCTCAGAGTGAGGCTTGTTTCTGTGATTTTTATTAGATCTTCTTCTTCTTCTTCTTCTTCCTTGTTCACCAGCTGTGAACTCTGGCAGAAAGTCCTGGCTGTTTGTCTGTTTGGACTTTGGCTTTGTGCTTGTTCCTGAGTTTTGCATGCACATTCTTTTAACTGGCTTATGTGTGTGCTGTTGGCTGTTACTTGCCGCAGATGCTCACTGAAGGAAGTTCCCCAATTAGTTGACTCCTACGATATGCATGTTGCAGAGGCAGTTAGTCTATTCTTGTTTTTCCCACAACGGGACACCGGAACCCACACAAGCAGTTTTTGAGATCAAGATAGTTAACTTCCCCATGGGAACAGTAGTAACGGTACCTTGGAGTGATTGCTGCATCAGAGGACTTGGAATGCCCAGAGCACAATGGTGATTGTGATAACATAACACATGCATGTGTGCACACATGCACATGCATGACACACAAGTACTGCTCGTGTTCACCGGCTGTAATCTTTGAGTAGAAATGTTGGTTGTTCATCTACTTCTAGTCTTTGGTCTTTTTCTAGAACTTGAGTTTTGCATTCACATCAATTTTACAGATCTGGCTTGTTTGTATGCAGACTATTGGTTTCCCCTTTTAAACAGGTGCACTTCGGTCCATTTAATTGATTCTTTTGACGTTTTCAGACAGGTGACCTCAGCTGTGTTTGCAGGCAGTGACAAGGTTGTGTCTGGAAGTGATGACCGCACAGTCAAAGTCTGGGACATGCGAAACATGAGGTCTCCCATAGCTGCCATTAGAACTGACTCGGAGGTCAACAGGTAAACCATCAGAGTGTAGGGTTAGGGTTTTTCTCCTTCTTCTTCCTCCTCCTCCTCCTCATTCTTCCTTCTTCTTCTTCTTCTTCCTCATCGTCCTTCTTCTCCTTCTTCTCCTCCTCCTTCTTCTCCTCCTCCTTCTTCTTCTCCTTTTTCTTCCTCCCCCTTCTTCCTCCTCTTCAGGTTTATTGCCGCAGCTATGACTCGCCTCCATTCATCTCTCTGATTGGCCTTCTGTTACCAGTTGGTGACTGAGGGTTTGTAGGTCTGCCTGTTATAATAAGTTACACATCCTTTATTGGACATTGCAAACCATCCACAGTTTATGTTGGTTTACTGGCCTGTTTTTTATGTTGACTAACTTGCCTGTGTTTATGTTGACTAACTGGCCTGTGTTTATGTTGACTAACTGGCCTGTGTTTATGTTGACTAACTGGCCTGTGTTTATGTTGACTAACTGGCCTGTGTTTATGTTGACTGACTTGCCTGTGTTTATGTTGACTAACTGGCCTGTGTTTATGTTGACTAACTGGCCTGTGTTTATGTTGACTGACTTGCCTGTGTTTATGTTGACTAACTGGCCTGTGTTTATGTTGACTAACTGGCCTGTGTTTATGTTGACTGACTTGCCTGTGTTTATGTTGACTAACTGGCCTGTGTTTATGTTGACTAACTTGCCTGTGTTTATGTTGACTAACTTGCCTGTGCCAGGAAACTGTTGACGCTGATACTACCTGTACTTACTACTTCTGCTGTGTAGCTGGGGGGAAAGGGGGGGTGGGGGTCAGAGTCTTTGAGTCTGAGGATTTAGGGCCACATGGCTGTCATCACAGACTATCCAAGTAAGGGCTTTATTTTTACCCCTGACATAAAGAGTCAGCCTTACAGAAGATTTGATTGCTGGTCTTCTGCATGAGAGGCCTGCATTGTTAACCATTTGGCCAGTCGCTGCTAAACGTTTCTCATACCAGTGTGAAAATCACTGACGTGCAGTCTGTCAGCAATTCACTTGAACTAAGTCAAACTCAGTGAGTTAGAATTGTGATGATGCTTATAACCATACACACTAAAATTATAACTTGAGAAAGCCAACCCAGATGGATGAATAGATAAGTCACCACACATATCTATTACACTTTGTATACCCTGTTCACGGCTCACTGAAAAAGAATAAAATATAACTGGACTGATCTAGACAGCAGCAAACCAGGCAGTGTTAAAGGACATGGAGATAGACCAGCACTTTAGACAGTAAGAACAAATACAATTATTGTCATGAATACTCTATGACAGTTTTTTTTTTTGGGTGGGGGGGGGGGAGGGGGGGGTCCAGCCCTATGCTGTCAATGCCAGATCTGGACAATGACAGAAAAAAATAAAAATTACAACAACTGAAATAAAATTCCTGCAAAGGGCTTTTAATGCAAGAAGAGAGAAGATCACAACAATTAAATCTGAAGGAAAATTGGGATAGGGGGGTCGTGGCTGCTCTGGATTTAATTAGAAAACAACGGGTGAAATGGTTTGGCCATATAACGCGGATGTCAGCAGACAGTATACCACAGCAAGCTATGATGTACAGACCAGGCGGGACATGGAGAAGAGGCTGAGCATGCAAACGAGGAAGAAAGAGATTAGCAGAGTCCCAGGGAATTCCTATTGACAAAGTGCGTAGACAGGCACTTTCCCACAAATTAAACTTCACCCTAATTCTGCATGGTGCAAGAGGGTCAGGATGAGATGAGATGCCCTACAGTTTGATTAATGTATCTTCTTCTTCTGCTGCCTTCATCTAAAGAAGTAAATTAATTGGGCCTGTTTGCAACATTTGCACTTTTCGTTCGACACATCCAGCTTCTGCAGTCATTTGTTGACCTGGTTAGCCTTCCCAGAAATGGGTGGCTAATGGTGTTGACTGGTTGTCTGTCAGTTATTTCATTTATCTTCACTCTAGATTGGCCGTGTCTCAGGCTCACAACATCATCGCCATCCCCCACGACAACCGCAACATCCGGCTGTATGACATGCATGGAGTCCGCATCGGCAGGCTGCCCCGTAACAACAGACAGGTAAGTGAACTCGTCTTGTGCATTGTACTCAGTGATGAAAATACTTCAGATTGCATATTTGTATGTGGGTACAGCCTTTTACCTACAGACCTCATCGTCCTAGATCTTTCCAGGCCCTTATTGCCTTAATGGGTTTATATGTCGCCTCCTGATTCACAGTCAACTTTAGTTTTATGATGGATGAAAGAAAGAGAGATGAACGAACAACAACAACATGTCTGTGCATACAAATGAGCTGGGAGTTTCCATGGTGAAGTCTGTAAGCTGTTTGCTATGCACTCTGAGGGCTGTGGGTTCACTTTCTTCTTTTGCATTCACCTTAAAAAAGAAAGAGATATTCACAGGATGTTGGGATTTGCAGCTAGGCAGTGATATCTGTTGCTTTCGGCATATTGTGTTCAATCCGCCCAGCAGGATGAGCCTTGTTTCACAAAGTGAGCACCAGATGTTGCTGTTTGAGAAACAAGCTCCCTTTTCTTAGCATCGATCTAGTTCTAGACCTATAAGGTTCAAGATTCTCCTTATCACTTGAGCTCTCACTGTATCACTTCAACTGGGAACGTATTCTTCATGAAATTCTGACACCTCAGAAACCGAATAAACCAAAGTTTCGATCACCTGTTGGACTGTGAAAAGCCTAGACCTACCTTACTTTCCTGTCACCTTATCAAGAAGATGCTTCACTTTCAGCTGTCATTTTAGTGCATAATGGTTCATCAGCCCTATCACATTATCAATTTAAATCCCTTAACACGTGGGAACGCAGTTGTGAAATTTTCATGAAAAATCCAAAGTTCGATCACTTTTCATGTTAAACCTAACCTCTGAGGTACAACTTGTGGTCCGTATATTTAGTGTGGCCTATGACACACGTAGTCAAACAAAGACCGAACATTTAGTAGCGGCATGACTAAGGAAATTACCGGAAAAAAGTGGATACAGAGGTTTTCCCCTTGGTGTCTTTGCTACCTTGGTGCTCGAACATCCTTCTCCTAACAGGGGTTGGTTTGTGGATATTGCATTTTTATTCGTTTGTGTTAGGCACACAATTTTTCCACGTAGTTTTGATTTGACTGCCATGTACAACAAAATTTAGTACAGCGGTTTTTGCTCTTAGTAGTCAGATTAACTGAATTACCGGAAACGGTGCGGCAGATTAGGACTTACTGGTAAATCTGATTTCGGTCTGGTAGAATTGTTGCAGAAATTCTCTGCAGTTATCTTTCCAACTTGTTCTTTGTCTACCTTGTGCTCGACATCCTTCTCCTCATTTGGTGGACGCCTTGCATATTCGTTTGTCCCAGTGCATTCTCTCCAAGTGTGTAAACCATTTGATTTGCTGCCTGTGTGTGTAATTTAGTTTTATTCTGTGCCGACTTTTTCTCTTATTATCCTGTTGCTGAATTTATCTATTCTGGTCACTTCTGCAGAAATCTGATTTCCGTGGTTATTGATTCTACTGAATATTTCCATACATTACTATTTTCCAGATCTAGCGCAGCATCTGCTCACATAACATTACTATTTTCCAGATCTGCTGAGCATCTGCTTACATTACTTTACTATTTTCCAGATTCTACTGATCGTTTCCATACATTACAGTATTCTCCAGATTTACTTAGCATATTCTTACTTTACTATTTTCCAGAACTATTGATCATCTCCTTGCATTACTTTAATGTTTTCCAGATCTACTGATTATCTAATTACATTGTTTATTATTTCAAGTTGTTCTTATCATTTACTTACATTACATTTTAATTTTCCAGGTTCTACTGATCATGTCCTTACATTAATTTATTATTTTCCAAATCATCTGCTTGATAAACTGTATTTTTTTTTTTCATTCTTGTAACGACAGGGTCATGCCAGAATGGTTTGTGCTGTGGCCTGGGCAGACAACAACCCAATATGTAATCTGTTCTCCTGTGGCTTTGACCGCCAGGTCCTTGGGTGGATGATCAACATTCAGAGCAAAGAATGAACTAACTGGAGGCTACAGAAAGTGGCCAGGACTTTAACAAATATTGCAGTGGGGAAGTGGATATTTTGGCTTTTTGTGATTCATGACCATTTTCTAGTTGTCCATGTTTTGTTTTGTTTTTGGTCTGTTAAGATAACAGAGCGGGTTGATTTTTGTTCATTGTTCAGAAAATTATTATGTGTGTGGATTTTTTTATTTATCTCGTTTTATTTATTAGCTGGCGTTGAAAGATGAGCGCTCTAACCTGGCACATTGACTCTTTTAGCACTAAAAGACTCATGCCAGATTTCCAATAATAAAAAGAAAAAACTTGCATTATTATATCCAAAGAGGCAACATATAATTCCCTATATGTTGAGATAATTAGACAGATTTTTTTAGTATGGTAAGACCAAATAGAATGGATATAATAATGCATGGCTTCATGCTAACAGAAGCCATAGTGATCAGATACTTTCCTTCTGGTCCTAATGTCTTAGATTTAAAACTGCACTGAGGCAGAATTTGTGTACTTGAACTTGGCTCTTCCCTGTATAAGTTCTGAGGCCCCATTGTGGGGGAAACAGGAACTGCCTCGCCAGCAAAAGTTGGACTAATTAAGGGCATCCTTCAAAGTCAGAGTGCATCTGCCACAGAGGCAAGTAACCAACAGTCTGCATACAAATAAGCCCAATCCATAAAACGGATATGCATCCAGCACTCGGGTTCTGGAACAAGACTAAAGTGCGGAGGTAGATGAAGAACCGGAACTTTCCTCCGGAGATTACAGCCGGTGATTGTGAAGAAGAAGAAAAAGAAAATCTTAGCTCCCAGGTCAACCCAACCTAAAGTGAGTAACCAGGAAATGTTCTGGGAGGTGAAGGTGTCTTTTGCTCCACTTGGGATTTTGGTGAACAATGTGAGACTGTGATTGTTAAGCTGTGCACAGATTGATTTACTTGCTTACTTTGTTGACATCACACGTCAAGTGTCAGTTGTCTATAAATGGACCAGTGGATGATGAATTTACGCATGACAGGCTAGATGTGATCTGGCGACAGTGAATCTCGGGGGCTCGGAAAGAAGAAGATTTAAATGATGGGTGCTAAATGATGTCACTTGTCAATCTGGCCAGGAGAGCGACCAGGCACAGACATTGAGACTAAAATTATTGTTATTGTTTCATGTGGCAAAACCGAACCGAAGCAAACTTTTTTTCTAAGTGACTTAGGCTCTGAGGTCGACCCAGCCTTGAGTGGGTACCAGGTGAAGGTCTGGGAAGTAAAGGCGGCTGGTGTGATATTGATTTACGTCTATCACTGTATTGTTGAATTTACAAAAATCTTTCATGTGACAGAAGTAAATATGGGTATTTTGAGTATTTTGTTATTTATTTTGTAAAATGTTATATAATATGTTTACTTATCATCATGCACCCATACATCTTCAGTGGTGGAGCTGTGGCTGTTCATACAATTAATGATAATATACATAGCATAACCCTTGACCCGTTAGTGGTCGTGCAGGTGTATTGATGGAAGCTCTAGCACACAAATCCCTCTATCTCTCTGTCTTGTGCTTGTTAAACAAGTATATAATAATTTAGTCCTGTCCATTTCTTGATGTTATCTTTCCGGTTTCTTCTTCCCCCCCCCCCCCCCCCCCCCCCTCCCCCCAACCCCCCCCCAACCCCCAACCTTTCCAATCATGTCTCAGTATGTGCCCAAACCAAACTAGCTCCCGACATTTCACCACTGCCAGAAGAGGCTGCTGGTGTTCTGTGAACTTGTTTATTTTGTTTCTGACACATTTGTTTGTTTTATGTTCTAAATAGATAATTGGCAAAATTCACCTATAGCATTTGTGTTCAAATCCTTTCCAGTTCTGCAGTGAGAGTCCAGCTGTCACAGTTGGTTAGAATACCTTTGATTACCGGATTAACTGACAGTGTTTGCCTCAGAAAAGCTAACCTACTACTTCTTCTTTTCTTCCTCCAGTAACTTCATTGACAACTATGGATCTCTTTTAACGACAGTAAAAACACTGAGAAAATGTAGTGTCACCGATACCTAACAGAATCTGCCGGCTTTTCCAAAATGACACCACTGGGCTCTGTAGAGCAGGGCTATTTAATTAGCGGCCCGTGGAGGCCAACCATGTGGCCCACGGATTATTGCCAGTTGTATTGTATTGATAATCTTTCTTTGCTAAGGCTCAGGCCACTGGCCCATAACGATTGTCATTTTCAAAATGTATGGCCCCCGAGTAAACTTAGTTGAAAAGCCCTGCTGTAGAGGGTCAGAGGAGACAAGGCAGTCCAAGAAAGACCTGGATAAAATCTGGGCTGCTTCTTCTTCTTCTTCTGCTTCTTTGCGTTCACCAGCTGTAAACTCTGGTGGAAAGTTCTGGTTGTTCATCCACTTCTGGACTGCAGTCCTGTTCCAGAATCTAAGTGTTGCATGTGCATCCATTTTACAGATCTGACTCATTTGTATGCAGACTGTTGGTTCCTAGCCCCTCAGGCAGATTCACTTCGATTTCAAAGGAAGCTCCCAATTAGTCGACTTCTACGAGATGCTTTTGGGTAGACACTGGGTCTGTTCTTGTTTTCCCTATAATAGGGCCCCGGAAACCACACGTGGAAGAGCTGGGCTGAATGAGCAAACTGCAAATATGCAAGCATCAAGTCCATCAGAACAGAATTTGGAGCAACTGACCAGACTGTCAACAGCAACTGTGCGACCTTTTGATGCAGAGGATTTTGGGGCTATTATGATGAACTTGTAAAGCATGTCATAAGAGGCAACTAAAAAAAAAGGTTGGCATGAGACTGGCCAAAGACATATCTGGCCTAAGACTGGTGGACAAGACAGAAGGTTGTGGATAGACATGACTACTAACGCCACACGGCATGGACTTTAGGAAGAGACTGGCTGCAAAATTTAGCACATCAAGGTTTTTTTTTGTTATCTTCCTATTTAACCGCTGTCTTCCACTTTTTCCCTCGAGCGTGACCATCATCCTCATGTTGTAATATGTTTATTTATATGCACCCAGAATATTGTATTCCTCTACCTTTAATGTTGCCTGGTTCCTGGTTTGTTGATCACCTCTTCATTTGTCTAACTGGTTTTCCTAAGATATTTGCACCAATTTTCTTCTGTATATCCACACATGGGTTAAAATGCATTCTTCTTTTGTGCTCACCTTTTACAAAATGCTGGATAGTGGAGCAGTGGCTCTATTAAACCCCCCCCCCCCTTTCCGCCCCACCAGAAGGGGCCCTTGAATGTATAGAGCAGGGCTATTCGACTGGTGACCCGCAAAGGCCTAGCAAGAGCCTGCAGATCATTGCCCGTTGTATTGAATTTATCATCTTTCTTTACTCAGGCCTGTGACAACCCCTAGTTTCTAAATTGTGGCCCCTGACAATCTCTAGTTTATAAATTGTGGCCCCTGACAATCCCTAGTTTATAAATTGTGGCCCCTGACAATCTCTAGTTTATAAATTGTGGCCCTTGACAATCCATAGTTTGTAAATTGTGGCCCCTGACAATCCTTAGTTTTTAAATTGTGGCCCCTGACAATCTCTAGTTTATAAATTGTGGCCCTTGACAATCCCTGGTTTCTAAATTGTGGCCCCTGACAATCCCTAGTTTATAAATTGTGGCCCCTGACAATCTCTAGTTTCTAAATTGTGGCCCTTGACAATCCCTAGTTTCTAAATTGTGGCCCCTGAGTTAACTGAGGTAAAATAACCCTGATACAGAGGAAGAACAGGTATTTATTTGACTGTTATACATTTGTGTATATATCTGTTATGTCATTGGCGTGTACATATATTCGTTCCTGTAGAAGTATGTTGTATGTTGTCTCATTAGTAGCTCTGTATAGATATGTAAAAATCTCACTCTTTTTTCTTTCTGTCTGACAGTCTATCCTCTCCCCCTCACTGCCTTTCTCCTGCTCTCTGTCAAATGCATGACTGCACATCCTGTAGTCTCCGTCATGTGACCAGACATGGAGGCTGGTTTCATGTGTATTTATAGTAGTTAATAAAAGTACACATTGTTGCCAGTTTCTGAATTGCTTTTCTTATGTGGCCAGATTGTAACCAGCTGTGCTGATTCTCCAGATCATCGCCATCAGGGTCTTTTTATGGCGGTTCACCCCCAGGATCTGATTAATGGTGAATATTGGAGTTCCACTGTAGATTAGTGAAAACTTTTTTGGAAGTTGTGGAGAACTTGTTTTATAGATGAATGATGAGAATACCCTGGACAGATAAAAAGAGTAATGTGGTTGTCTTGAAACTGACCCATGAAAAGAACTGACTGCCTACATCAGAAAGAGACAATCTGCCTTCTTTGGTCATGAGATGAGAAGGAGAAGAGTGGCATACTTCATGACAGTAGAAAAGTTGGAGGGGAGGAGAGACAGAGGGAGACTGAAAGAAAAAATGCTGGACATCATGTCATAAAGGATCATCTGTGTCAGAGCTGATTGAAAGTACACAAGACAGAAGGTTGTGGATAGACATGACTACCAACTCCACATGGCATGGACTTTATAAAGAAGACTGTAGATTGTTTTTCCAATTTTTTTTTTTTTTTCTTTACATTTTCACAGCTTTACAAAAGTCAACTCATTTTGAGAAATGCTTGCAAAAATGAGACTGTTGTTTAGCATTTGCACAGGTCAGAGTTAAAGGTTAGAGTCGAGAGGATCGACTTCATCCCATATGGCTCCGTCTCTCTCCACAAAACAGCGAGCCACCTGCCGAGAGCATCGCAAAGAGCACGAACTCTGTAGCTCCGGGGACGATCCCCAGAGATCTCCGTAAAAATTGCACTATTGAACTGAATGACTAAGATGACATTAAGAGGCATACGATGGACTCCATTCACGATGCTTGAGGACCTTGATTTTGCAGATGATATAGCACTCCTATCACATAAACATGAACATATACAAGAGAAAAGTAACAGACTAAACTGCACAGCAGAAATGGTGGGACTGAGAATAAATGCAAAGAAAACTAAGATCATGACAAGCAGTCCAAACCAACAACCAGTGACCATAAGTAACCAATCACTTGACAATGTAGAACATTTCACATATCTTGGCAGTGTGGTGTCCCTACTGGGAGGGACAGAAGAAGACATACAGTCACGTCTGAACAAAGCTAGAGCTGCTTTTGGAAGGATGAGGCAAATCTGGAAATCCAACAGTTACTGCAGAGGAACGAAACTCCGACTCTACAAGAGCATCATTTTGCCAGTTCTTCTTTATGGAGCGGAATGCTGGAGAATGACCAAAAAGGATGCACACAAGCTGTCCACCTTCCACCACACATGTCTACGTAGAATTATCAAAATTTTCTGGCCAGATACAATCTCAAACACTAAACTACTTCAAGTCACAAACCAAGAAACTTTAGACAGTATGATTACCAAGAGAAGATGGAAATAGCTTGGCCACGTTATGAGAATGACTTCTCATATACCTGCCAAAACAGCTCTCACATGGACACCAGAGGGAAAGAGAAAACAGGGGCGCCCAAAAACAACATGGAGACGAACGATGGAAAGTGACCTGAGTGCGGCATCTTTGACATGGAAAACTGCACTGAAGATTGCACAGGACAGGAAAGCATGGAAAGTCCTCTCTGAAGCCTCATGTCCACTAGGCATAACAAGAACTGATGATGATGGATGAACTGAATGACGCAGCCGTGAAATGAACCCACGATCTTCAGAGCATGAGGCAGATGGCTTGACCACTTCGCCACGGAGACCCCCCCCCCCCCCCCCCCCCACAGGCTTCATCTGAGTAGTTCATCCTTGCATCTGTGCATCTGCAAACCACACAACATGTCCAGCAAGGCTGTCCCTTGTACACAGTCCAGAAGGGAATACTGGCCAAATGAATCATTCCATACTCTGAGTTGCATGAATCTAAAAGGAAACTCTAACAAGGGTCAATTTTATTACAAGAACTTGACTCTCTTGTAAGTTAGGAATATGATCGCAAGAAGTAGAAGAAGAAAAATGTTTAAAAGAATCTATGAAACATCAGAAGGCATAATGTCGTCTAAATGGTTATTTGTTGCAGTCAATACCTATGTTGTGAAGAAATCATTTATGCTGTTGTCGCCACATGTGCCAACAATCATGTCGTCTAGATCAATATCTCTTGCACTGGGTAGCTAAGTTGGTAAAGAAATCATGTACGCTGTCGTCACCACAAGTGAAAACAATCATATCATCTAGATCATTATCTCTTGCACTAGGTAGCTAATCATTATCTCCTGCACTGGGTAGCTAAGTTGGTAAAGAAATCGTGTACACTGTCGTCACCACATGTGCCAAGGACATTCAGGTTTGGCCGTGCCTGGAACCACGCGACTAATCCGGCTTCCTGGCACGTACAGATGAGACGAGGGTTCTGACTCAGATCCAGTGTGTTGAGACTAGCTAGATCAGACAAAGCTGTGGGGACTCTGGTCAGATTAGTGTTGCCCAGTGTTAGAGTGTCTAATCCTGAAAGGTTTTTAAAAGCTGAATTTGAGATGCTTGCTAGTGGGTTTCTGCTGAGGTACAAGGTCCTGAGTGAGGAGTTAGCAGGGAAGGTGTTGTCTTGGAGTGTCTTGACTGCATTATTCTGGATGTCCAGGTGAGACAACTGCACTGGGAGGTCAATCAGTCGGATTTCTTGTATGGAGTTATCACTTATAAATAAGCTGGTCAATTTGTTAAGTTGTCTGACCACATTTGGGATCGCCTGGAAGTTGTTGGCACTTAGCTGCAAGTTTATTACCTTGGAGGGAAGCAGGCCGGATGCAGGATCACTTATTTTGTTGTTGTCTAAATGGATAATTAGTAAGGATGTCATGTGGTCCAGCTGTGGAATAACTAACAGCTGGTTGAAGTGAAGGTATAAGTAGGTCAGTGAGGCAGCATGGGGAGATAATTCATTTACCAGTTTGGGACCATCAGAAACGTTGTTGAATCCAAGGGACAGTGACTCCAGCTTCGACTGCGAGGGCAGGTTCTCAACCTCTGTGATACTGTTGTTGCTCAGATCCAAAGATACCAAATTCGAGAGAACTGTCAGAGCCCGGGGTATGCTTGTTAAATTAGCAGACACAATTGTGAGTCTTTTTAAACTGCTTGTGAGCATGTTAAAAGCTGTGTCGGGAATTGGAGTCAACTGGCTGTTCGATAAACTTAAATCAGTGAGGGATGGAAAATTTGCAATCCAGGCTGGCCAAGATCTTAGACCAACATTGTTTAAAGTGAGTTCACGAAGAGATGCACCGATATGCTTTAGGACATCAAGATTCCAGTTCTGGAGAGGCGAATTCTTTATTGTCAAACTGGTTAGCTTTGTTAGACTTAGAAAGGCATCTGGGATCTGAGTCAGACGTGTGTTTGTGAATGACAGAGTTTCCAAAGTCGACCCTGAGTTGTTGAAGGCACTTGGGGCAATGTCAGAAATGGGGTTGTTGCCAAAGTCGATCTCTGTCAAACCGGATGGGATGGATTTATCAGGGATGCTGGTGATTCTGTTGTTCTTTGGAGAAGAAATGAAAATAATTAATGTTTAAATAATCACCATCTGGAAGCATAGTAGCTAGATCTGTGACCAACGTGTTGGTGTGAATTGTAGATTCAGAAAATGGTGCAATGCCTGTCGTGCAGTGTTGTGGTGCCCGTATGTGATTAAAATTAATCACGTGGGCAACTGCTGATCTGTTGGCGACTTCTGCCACCATCAATGATGAACTGCAATTCTAATACTGTGATAAACATTCTGTGTGTTTTTCGTTGGCACAGGAGCGGAGCAAAGATGGGGTGACCCGTTTGCTATGAAGCTGAAACTAAGACTACCGGACTACCAGACATAGTAGCTAGATGCTCAACTACTGGCCACAAGATCTTGTGTTTGAATCCATTTAGGGTGGATTTGAAAGAGGGTGAAATTCATTCTGGCTCTCAGTTACACCAAGCCTTAACCTGCTTACTACCATGATCACACCTTATGCAATCGGCCAACTTTTACGCCTGACTACCACATTGGCACCACCTGCAATAATAATTTGGGACAGTCGCAGTCATGTTAAAACTGCTACTTTTGCAATAAATGTAGCTGAAACTATAAGTCCAAACATTTCTGCCATGTCAATGGCACAGAGTCGAATGTTTTGATGATGGCAGCTGTTTGATAAGGCCGGCATGGTGGAAGAGTTTAGGGAACATTCCTGATGCTCTGGGTATATTGTCCTGATTGTTTTAAATTGGAAAGTGAAGGCAAAGATATTTCTCAACAGTTTCATGGCTAATGACTTTGATCATTCTTACAAACTAACATCAAAAAACATCATTAAAACTGGAAGATGATGTTTCGTCTACAGCAGTCTCCTAGCAGTGGAATGTTATGTAACATTAGGTCAGGTCAACTGTTTACTTAAGTGCTTTAGGTGTGTATTGTTAGATGTGCGTCTGTTAGTGTAGAGTGTGACCATTACAGCTATGTGGTTTAGAATTTAGCGAAAATTGTTTCACAATGCAATCCTCTGTGTTCACGGGCATGCGTTTTCCGCAATGCTCATTTTGGGATACCAACTTTTCTTTCAAAGTTATGCAGAGCTACCATCAAATATTATTTCAGTCTCTCTCTCTCTCTCTCTCTCTCTCTCTCTCTTCTCTCTCTCTCTCTCTCTCTCTCTCTCTCTCTCTCTCTCTCTCTCTCTCTCTCTCTCTCTCTCTCTCTCTCTCTCACACACACACACACACACACACACACACACACAGACCAGTTCTATTGATGTCAGAAAAATTTTCAGATGTCATTTTTCATAATCATGATGATGTTCTTCTTCTTCAGTGATCTCTCTGTTAATGCACTTAATCCACTTTGGGCCATAAACTGGAATGTCTTTTCAAGGTCTCTTAGGTTTCCCCAAAGCTTAGTTGTCAGGTCTACTGGCTGTGGCCACCTGTTGCTCCGCAGCTCCGCCAAGGAGGACAGTCTTGCAGGACTTGTTCTGGAGACTGTTTAGCATGAAGACACAGGCAGAGAGCTGTTTGGCTCATACCTTATTTATATGAGTGTTTATTGAGTCTGCAGTGCCTAGTACATAAGCGAAAAACTTACTCGGTCTGTTCTGTTCAGGTGTATGAGAAAATCTTTTACGTAGTTATTACCGGTGTTGGTTTTCAATTCTGGTGTTCAACAAAATTACACAATTGTGTTTTTTTTTTTTCTAAAAATTTTTTTTCCATTCAGTTTGGTGCAAAACTGCAAATATTGTGTGTTTAATAGTTATGGAGCTATGGAAGTTTATTTAATTTTTTTTTTTTTTTTTTTTTTAAAGATTAGTATAAAAAAAAAAATTTTTGGGAGGGCCACATGAAGATAAAGTCAAACAAGATTAGACAGTTCTTGTTCTTGAAATTTTTTCTCCATTTAATTTGGTGCAAAAATACAAAATATAAGATTATGTTAAATAGTTGTGAAGCTGTGGCATTTTTAGTACACACTAAAATGTGGGGTATCTGGGAAAGTGCGAGGGTTAACTGGCATGGAAGTCTTATGAGTTAAAAAGGTATCAGATGATTTCCTGAAAAAGAAAGACCGTTGGTGTGATGCTGACCACACCGTACACTGTGGGCCGGTCGTTGGTGTGATGCTGACCACACCGCACACTGTGTGCCTGTGGGCCGGTCGTTGGTGTGATGCTGACCACACCGCACACTGAGTGCCTGTGGGCCGGTCGTTGGTGTGATGCTGACCACACCCCACACTGTGGGCCGGTCGTTGGTGTGATGTTGACCACACCCCACACTGAGTGCCTGTGGGCCGGTCGTTGGTGTGATGCTGACCACACCGCACACTGAGTGCCTGTGGGCCGGTCGTTGGTGTGATGCTGACCACACCGCACACTGAGTGCCTGTGGGCCGGTCGTTGATGTGATGTTGACCACACCCCACACTGTGGGCCGGTCGTTGGTGTGATGCTGACCACAAAATAAACACTGAGTGCCTGTGGGCCGGTCGTTGGTGTGATGCTGACCACACACACACTGAGTGCCTGTGGGCCGGTCGTTGGTGTGATGCTGACCACACCACACACTGAGTGCCTGTGGGCCGGAAAAAATACGACAGAAGATGATGAACAGTTCATCCATCACAAGTGATGAAGATCACTCTTTCTTTCATCCTTCCGGAAACTGCAGTTGATGAGGGGTTATCATCCTTGCCTTCCACATTTTTCTCTTGGCGAGGTTTTATTTCCTATATTCGCGTATGCTTCAGAGCAACTGGGACCCCCCCTTCAACCCCACCCCCCCCCCCCCCCCCCCCCCCCCCCCCCCAATTTTACTCTGTGGCAGCATGTGTTTTTCAAGTTTATATTGTTTTCAGTAGTCGGGTGGCTGTAGTCGGGTTTAACATTTCATTTAGTCGGGTTTTTAGGTTAAAATAACACAACGGTTGAACGAGGTTTTTCGGACCTCTCGCCTGAGTGATCCTCATCCTCATGGAGGCACTTTGTGTCACCGGGTGTTTATCGCTCTGTGTGATGTCCTGGTGGGGTTAAATATCTCATTCATTCATTCATTCATTCATGTCTTAAATGGAGCACTCCCACTTACCTGAATCATCAGTACTTGGTACGTGTTTACAGAGCCGGCTATTAGCGGTGGCATCTTGTCCAGGCCCTGATTCTGACACTTGATGTCCTTATTTCTGCATACACACTCCTGCAAATAGATGGTCCTTTGCTAGTCATATATATATATATATATATATATATATATATATCGCTCTCTCTCTCTCTCTCTCACATGAATGGCGATCTGCCTATCGAGAGCGGCGTACAAAGCACAAACTCCAAAGCTTCGGCGATAGTCCTCGCAGGTCATTCTTCAATTTGTATTCATGAAGTTAACTACACAAACTAAAAACAAAACCTTCATCTGGAGAGTTTGCAGTGGCAAACGGCTTGGTTACCACCGCCCCCCCCCCCCTTCCCCTATTTTGTTTTCTCCCCATCTCGTTTCCTTTGGTTTCCTGCATAATTTTAACACAGTCACAGTTCACTAGGTTAATTTCTTTATAAACTTAACAGTAATCGATTACCTGATACGGACAGTCGCCCATGGTCAAAGAGACAGTAAGGAGAAAGGCCAGACCTGTTGTGATTACTGTCGTCATGGTTGCAGTCGTGCTGCCTGTTTCGGCACTGGCCGTCTACCTGAAAGTAACCAACGGTCAAAAGTTATCCTCTGATCGTACAGTCCACCTCTTTGTACCCTCCGGGCTGCTGCCTAATGCTTTACAGTGGCATTCTGTGATATTAAAAATCCTAATCATGACGGGGCAGATACGCCGTTCAACCCCTCCCCCAAGAAGTTATAATTTATTCTTGTTCCCCCCCCCCCCCCCCCCCCCCCCCCCCCCCCGTTGTGTGCAATATATGGGTATATGAAAGGGAAGTTCATTATTGAACGTAAACACTTGGTGCGGTGCAGCACACATTGAACGCAATGTGAAGAGAGTGAAAAACGATTGGCTCCAAGTCTCCGGAGAGGAAGGATGCGGTGATGTAGGTTCTTGTCTGGGTGTTGCCAGACTAGTCCTGCACACCCGCATGTTACGCTGGCGTTAGGCATACAGGCTATCGGCGAGAGATGCCGCAGAGGCCGGGCCAGCGTGACAGAAGCTCGTGTGGTGAGATGGGAGATCTCAAGTACGTGTCAGGCCGCAGACGGAAGGTCTGGATAATCTTCACAAGGTATTGTGCATCGGCCTGTATGATCTTTCTAGTGACAGTGTACCCAAAGGATGGGTGTCATAGAGACAGACGCGTACTCACAAGCAGTGGGTTTGCACGAACAGGCAATGTTTGCTCGTTGTTAACCACGGAACAGGGTGGCAGTAGAAGTAGCCCAGAGCGTCCGGAGTGTGTGTTGCCTTGCCAGTAGGAATGACTGTGGCAGTATAGAAATTCATGTTTATTCATTGTTTTGTTTTTGAAATACATTAATTATATTTTGACGTTCAACATGTATCCAGCGTCCTTTATTGCTGTTGGGCGGGAGTGGTGACTTTGATCTGTAACACTATTAATCATACCTGGATACTTGGCAAGTGTGCGGTGCATCAAGCGAGTATTTCGCTCGCGTCAATGGGAGCCAAGCCTTTAAAGAATGAGGGACCTCTGGAAACAAGTGTGATACGACATTTTGTCATATTGGTTTTGCTCAAGTTGTACACGAAGCACATTCCAGTTGTGACAATCTTTACACATCTCTAGCTGTGGATATCGTCCAATGTTTTAGGTCGCCGCCGCCGGTCTGTTCTAGCCATCGTTGGATCTTTATCTGGACTTTATCACTCTTCGTTGGATCTTTGTCATAATCAGGTCACGGTTACTGTCTGTGCCACTCTCCGTTGGATTGAATCGGATCAAGTCGTCTTTTTTAAAATACATAAATTCTGCATTGACCCTCAACGTGTTGTCCCGCGTTCCTCCATGTGCTCTTGGATTCGCACGCGTCAATGGGGGCCGACGCCTGACCCGGAGAATTCATAATTGGGCACTGAAGCATGGACTAGAGAATTTGTCATTGGGAACCAAAGCCTTGCCCGCAGAATTAGTCGCTGGAAGGAGATATCATAACCTGTGTCAACGGGACCCCGGAACCAACACGGGGACATCAGTGGAATTGATCCAGAACACCAAAAATGAGCTTTGAAGAGATGCATGAACGCCTAAGTCAGTTGGCAAGGCACTTGATGATGATGATGAGTTTTAAACCCATATTTTATAGACAATCGATAGCTGATGTGGTCAGCATCATACCGGCCGCTTTTACTTCCAGGAGTGTACCTGCGACCAGTCTCATTCTTGGTCGACTTAGGGGGTCAATGTCACTTTTATTTTAAATCCGACTCTATACGGATTTCAACCCACGACCTTCGGGTCCTTAGGCGAACGATTAGCCGCGACACCGCGGACAACGGAAATAACTGTATTCTGCTCAACTTGTAAGCAAGTCCTGACCTCCGGGTGTGAGTTGTGGGCAATGATACAATCTCACGGAAGCCAGTCGCAGGCCTCGGAAATTATATATCTGCGAAAGGTGGTCCAATTGACAAGAAGGGGCAAAGTTCGCAGCCAGACAATACTTCATGACTTTGAATACATAGGCCTTACTTACTAGAGTGGATCAGTCACATTTACAATGGTTTGAACATGTATGTAAAGACAATCGACCGGCACGGGAGGCCAAGAGCCAGGGAACCAGAGCTTTAGGACGATCCAGGGAACCAAAGCTCTAGGACGATCCAGGAAACCAGAGCTCTAGGACGATCCAGGGAACCAGAGCTCTAGAACGATCCAGGGAACCAGAGCTCTAGGACGATCCAGGGAACCAGAGCTCTAGGACGATCCAGGCTTCACTAGGAAGACAACATCCTCTAGTCGCTGACGGACAGAGGACGGGAATGGAACAAAGCCGCAAAGAAAACTGCCGATCGAGAAGTCTGGCGAACTTTCTGGCAAATCTTTTCGCTCTATAGTAGAATTTGATCGACTAAGTGAGTCAGTAATTTTTCTAGGCAATTTCACGTTCAGTAGTTTGTCATTGCTCTCTAAACGGTTGGCTCTTGATACCACTCTCCAGACTAACGCAAGGCAGTCTGCTGGCAAATTGCCTGCAGATGGGATCGAACCCTCCAGCTCGGCATAACAAAGCGTGTTCGCTACGCCTGATTACATACTCGAATGTATGTTAGTTTAGTTTAGTTAGTCAATTGATTAGTTAGTAAGCTAGTTATTTTGCTAGGTGGTTGGTTGGTTGATTGGCTTTTTTGGTTGGTTGGTTACCTAACTAGTTAGCTAGTTATTTAGTTAATTATTTATTTAGGTAGTTAGTTAGCTAGCTAGTTATTTAGGCAGTTAGTTAGTTAGTTAGCTAGCTTGCTAGGTTAGGTAGGTAGTTAATTAGTTAGTTAGTTTGTTAGTTAGTTAATCGACAAATCATGCTCATCGGACAAATTCATAAGCGCTCGGATCCCATCTTCAGTATCTCCCCCAGCGTGTGGCTCCTGATAACACCAGTTTTGTGTTGATTTACTTGTCTTCATTGGCTGCTGGAATGTCTTACCTGTACTGTTTGTAGAAGTTATACCTCAGGCGGTAAGAACAAAATACTGAGTCAAAGAATCCAATCGTTTCATAAGTCCATCCAAAACCACATGCTGCATTCACAACCTAAATATGAATGTGTGTGCCTTGTGTGCTTGTTTCTACCTACAATCAGCACTCTATGTGAATTTATTCGCAGGGGCGCTGGACCGTTGGAACTTAGGCGTCTTGACCCCCACCCCTTTATTTTTTTTTTCAGTTCCATTGGGCTCTTGCCCGGGGGGGGGGGGGGGGGGCTCCGAGTACAGGAAACCCATGCAAATTTATGTATGTATTTCAGGTGACTTGCCAGAAATACAAGATCGATTCATGTGAGTGGTTTGCGTAGGGGACCCCAGTACATAGGTTCTTGTCTACCCCCCCCCCCCCACCCCCCCCCGATCCCTCTTTCCAAGTTTGTAACAGTGCTAAGTTGTTCTCTGTCCCAGACTAAGTATAGCAGTTATCTTTTTATGTTTCTGTTTACACATATCACATGTCAATTTTTATTTATTTATTTTTTATTTTCACTTTTCATTCAGAACATAATTATTATTATAATATTATTATTACTATTATTATTTGAAATGTTATATGGGGCTTGTTCTGTTTTATGGTAGCGAATCTTGGAATGTGAGCAAATTATGAAAAGTCTGGAGGCAACTGAGATGTGGTTCTGGAGAAGAATGTTGCGAATACCTTGGACTGCTAGAATAAGCAAAAATGATTGCCTGGAAATAGCTAATGAAAGTTGAACATTATATACAACAATGAGAAGGAGATAAACAAAGTTCTTTGGTGAAGTGATGAGAAAAGGAGCACTGGAAAATATCGTGACGACTGGAAATATCACTGGTAGAAGAGGCAGAAGTACACCAAGTAGCAGTAGCAGCAGTAGCATTAGTAGTAGCAGTAGCAATAGCAACAGTTGCATTATTAGTAGCAGTAGTAGTAGTTGTTGTTGTTGTTGTAGCGGCAACAGCATCAGCAGTAGCAGCAGCAGCAATAGTAGTAGTAGTAGCAGTAGTAGCGGTAGTAGTAGCGGCAGTGTTGGTAGCAGCAGCAGCAGCACTAGTAGCAGCAGTAGTAGTGGTATAAGTAGCTGTAGTAGTAGTAGTAGTAGTAGTAGTAGTAGTAGTAGTAGTAGTAGTAGTAGTAGTAGTAGTAGTATTAGGCATTTAAACCAGGCCTATGCTACTTCAAAGCCCTTCACCCCTTAGAAAATATATAAGTGGCCAAGGCGTTTTGCCCAGCGTTCTGAAGGACGTGGGCTCTCTTGATACGTTTCTCGTTTCGTTGGTGCAATGTTTACGGAGACCTGTGGGGTTCATCGCAAAAGCTATGGTATTCGTGCTTTGTGTAACATACTCGGCAGGCGGTCAGCCGTTCTACGGAGAAAGACTGAGACAATAAATCATGTATTTTTCAGGAGTTTGTGTGCAGAAATAAGGACATCGAGTATCAGAATTAGGGCTTGGACAAGATACCACCGCTAACATCCCATCATCATCATCATGTAGCAGGTCCTTTGCAGAACGTCGCTCTCATCACAGTCTGCCTGAAAGAAACTCGGTCTCTCGCCAGTTCTCCTGCCTCATGCACTTTCACACTCAAGGAGTCACTTATATCCTGTGCCCATCTTCGTGTCGGTCGGCCCCTGCCCCTCCTTCCTGGTACCATACCTTCTGCTATATTTTTTTCCAATTCGTTGTGGCGCTTGATACGACCAAAATATTTCAGCTTCCGAGAAAGGATGCTGTTTATTAGCCAATCTTCCTTGATGTTCACATCTTTTAAGATGTCAATATTTCTCATCTTCTGTGACCAAGATATTCTGAGAATCTTACTATAGCATTTCAGCTCAAAAGCTCATATTCTCTTTCTTAAGGACTGAGAGATAGTCCACGACTCACATCCGTATGTAGCCACAGGGAAGATGCATGCTCTCAAAATTCTAATTTTGATCTCCTTGCTGGTGCTTAACCATAGACTTTTAAGGCTGTTCAATCTCTGCATTGCTATG